AGCTGGTTAGGTCTTACAAGGTCTGTTCTTATCTAGACTCTAGGCCCCCTCCGCTCCAGAACACCCCAGAGGACTCCTCTCCAGAAGCTCCAGCTCAATACATAACCCTCCTACTGGCTCCTTGAATAAATCCCAGTCTGGCTTCAAGGCCTCAGGTGTCCTTCCTACAGGAGTCCCAGGCCCCAGCCAGGCTGACACAGGCAGCTCCAGGGATTTGCTCCAAGTCCTGGGCTCTGAAGGGCCTGCTCTCCTGCCCCCTGGTGTTGGGTCCCCTCTACTACATGGGAAGAGGGACAGGATACTCCAAATTTCCCATTCATCCAACCCCTTTCCCAGGTTCAGCGCCAGACTACTCGGGTAGTTCACAATAGTAGTGCTGAGGACCTTCAGGGGGATGCGGACGGGTCAGGGTAGAATCTATGATGTCAGGAAGGGAACTCCAGGTCTCAGTCCTGGGTATGGAACAGGGGACGAGGGGGCCCCACAGTATAGGGACCTGGGACAAGGGCCTTAACGGTGTAATTCCAGGCAGGGAGCAAACTCCAGACTCCAAAAAGGACCTGGGAGGAGGTGCAAGAAATTCCTGAGGGTCAGTGCTTAGAGGCAGGGAGCACCGTGTGTTCTGTCTTCCCCCAGGGGATTCTTGCCAAGTGTAGGAACGGAGCAACAATGGGGACTACAACTGACCCCAGAGGTTTGGCCTAAATGCCACAATGTGTCCTCACTGCCATGTGCCCTCTTCCCAGGACCGAGAGGATGGCCCCCCCAGCCCCACCCACAATCTCCCCTCGACCTAAGTCAGCTGCAGGGCAAGGACTCTGGCAGACTTGAGTTCCAAGGTAGCCAGCCCATCTACGTGAGACACCTATGGAGGAGTCCCTGGTGATCCCCCCTTCAGGGGGCTCTAGCCAGCATGAGGAGTGAGGACAAAAGAAGAGGCAAGTACACTCACCATCAGTAATCTCCATCTCATAAGGGGAGGGTCTCCTCTTCACTCGGTTGTTGGTGGCAAACATAGGGAAGGCATCTGGCTCCCCAAAGAACCCACTGTGGGAGGGAGCAGGCAGATCACAGGATCACACGTAGATGGAGGGGAGAAAGGCTCCTTAGCGATCCTCCCCACATGTTCTTGAGCACCCGCCCCCCGGGAAAACAAGGGCAACCCTGCTCCCTTCATACCTGAGTTTGGGACAGAAGGACCGTCACACACAGACACCCAAACACACTCACAGAATGCTCCCACTCTCCTCGGTGAGACAAGCAAGGGGAGAAGAGGCCACACCCCCCCACACCCCTCCCCCACCACACAATCAGAAGTGAACACATGGAGCAAACGCAAAAATGAACACACACACCCCACAAGCAGACATACCCCCTTCCCGGAGGCGAGCACACAACACACACACACCTCCCCTCCCAATCAGGTACTCACACAAGCAGGGGTGGCCTTCACACCTGATGGTGTGCAACTCTAGCACCTCACGGGACACACGGTCCCTTTCCCCACAAATCACCCCACCTTCACACAGGCCCCAGGGGGCCTGAGGACAGACAACAGAAAGGAAACCTCCCTCGAGGGACCACTGCTTACATGCCCCCCCCCATTCTGGGCTCTCAATAGCTTCTTCCTCAAGGTCTCCCACAGACTCACTAACTGCCCCACACTGTCAACCCCTGCCTCATCCTCCTGTGTCCACCCCAAACCTACCTCTGTCTCCCCACTGTCTCGGTGGCCCCAGCAGGGGAGTGGACACCTTAACACAGTGGGGGTACGCGCCCCAGCCTGAGACCACAGCTAGGGGCAGAGGGGCTCAGGAGGGGAGGGAGGGATCCACTCCCCACACCGGCCTGGAGCAGTTCCTGGGGAGGGAGCCCTCTTGCAACCACCCTGGGATCGTATCACTTACCTGTCCACTGAGGGCTGCAGCTTCCAGAAGAATTTCACAGCGAGCGCATTCAGACACATTCTTGCCTGGTACTCACACTCAAGCCACTCCCTTCGGTCCACACCACAGACCCAACCCTAACACACACACACAC